AGTATCCAAATTAAATGGTCATCTTCATCAGAGGACTAATTAATTGGTGAAATACAAATTAACCCAGTTTTGGTGCCGTCAGGAGGTCGGTGGATAAAGTAAATTGACGGGTATCTCAGAATACATATTCCATTGTCTCCTCAACTCCAAATGCTTCGCTAACGGAGCCAGTTCAGAGTCCTAGTGACCTCCTAAACACCGCAAGCACACGGAACAATTCGTAACGCTTAGATGTGATTTATTCTCCGACACTCTTGCCACAACCGTAACCGCAATCATGCCCGAAGACCGTAGAAATGACCTTGTGCAAAAATAGTCTCATTAGGCACAAGATTACTGATTCCGAAAGCTAGTCTTGGAAATGAATTTTGTGATTAATGCCAAAGACAGACACTTCATGGCCAGATATCGCGTGTATTCTCTCTAGCTCTAGCCATAAAATTCCGACGTCGACAGTATATGACTCGTGCATCAACAAGAGTAGTAGACCAAATATCATCACATGAATAGCACGGCATTCTACGGTGCCGCAAGTCTCATTGATTCAACCTCGTCTGAGTGTAAAAAATAAGGTATCAGACCTAGTACTAACATCACCGTTGAGCTTGCCCATCTGAGACGACGCACACTCGGAAATCTAGTGTGTTGAGATATTACCCTCCATCTTACCTCATATTTGCTTGGCAATTTTATATTAGACACCTAAAGAGTTAGAAAAGATAGAATGAAGTGTGTAATATTGCTATGGTATCGCTATTTTGGATATAGTCTACTGCTTTGTCATTTACGCGCGTATACTCTATTCTACCTGTTAAAGATTTAATCTGTCCATAACTCTGAGCTTGATGATGGCCGGCAAGACGAAGAATATCATGACCTGACATCTAGGATAAAAGGGCGAAAAGACATAAATTAGAAGATAGGACCAGTATAGAAAGTGGTGATTAGCCCAGAGTAGGTATGGGCATCGTGAATGTTGTCGGAAGTGTCATCACATTAAAGGAGTCAAGTGCGCGGTATATACACGTGTCATATCCCTGTCCACAGTTACTATAAATCTCTGCTATTCATCACAATCCCGAGTATCAATATGAGTCACTATTATACGGTATATTTTTACGCGTCGATATCGAGAAACAAATTTTAACACTACCAATATCGTGGCTTCACGATATGGACTCGACTGTCTCAGCACGAACACGCCATTCTTACCAGTTCATGTGGACAGGAATAATCTATCTATCGCTAAATCCTCTGCCACCTCTGATAATTCCATGCTTAGCTCTACACGACACAGGATTTCACTTGCAGTACATTCTAAGATCTTGCTTCTGTGGTTGAGATTGGTGCGTTTAATAATAGGGCTCTTGTCGTGTGTTTTATGGATAGGACATGATCCAAGTCTAGTAGACAAATTGTTGTGGAATTCAAGATTAGAGAGCCTTGGATTGAATGAGCTTATTTCCATATCATATATAAATCGCGGGGTGCATTGAGATGCTGGCTTTCATTTTGTTGTGATTATGAGTTTAAGATTTTAAATGGACTGAAGCTCATGGTCAGTATTATACGCATGATGTTATAATTTTGTGGTCGGATTGTTGAATATAGAATGATTTGTGTTTCTAATGGAGAAAAGTATTTTTCTGTGTAGCAGATTGTAAAAGGTAGAGAGGTATGAAAGTCTTTCGGTGAAAGAGATAAGACAGATGCTTACGCATCACGATTTGTGAGAGAACTGAGACTTGGGTGAGTAGGTTCATTGCTATTGTTGCCATTGTTTACCAGGTTCTCATCTGAACGTGGTCCAAATCCCGAGGGTTTAGTCAGCCTTTCCTACTCCTACGCATGCGATCACATGATATAAAGCGACTACTCATTATGAAGGCCGTGGATGAAGCGTTAAATTACAATAGATTCAGTTTATGTTATTCAGTGCATAACATCTTTAAATTCAGCGCTTTATTACGATTATATCCAGAGCTGAGCACTGCTCGTACGCGTAGCATTGTTGGGAGCTACCTCACACCTGGGAAATAGACGGTCGTCTAGAGGACAGTTCCTAGTCTTTAGATTAAGTAGTAATGCGTATAAGGCGTAATATGCGGGAGTTATTTGATGTTCAGTCGATTAATTAGCCTTTGACGTAGAAATTCACAGGCGTTCTTGTTGAAACATGTGGTCATTTGGTGACAATCATATCTCCTACTGATTAGCAGTAGTGTTTGGATCCCTCTGATTGATCCCAAGTGCAGGCCCTTGTGCACGGGTACTGACCGCACTAGGGCCTTTGCATCTACATAGGATAGCCCTCACCAGATAGCTTAGATAGAGAAAAGAAGAACAACCAACCCCTCTGAATTCATTATCTGTTTTGCTAGCACATTTCATGCCCGTGATATACCGACAGTTCTACATAGAAACTGGACGCTGAATATCCAACAGTTTGACGTGGTGATTCGTGCAAAGCCAGCTGCTAGAGGGGCTGAGGTAGGAGATGTATCTGATTCCAAACATGTAATGATATCCCGGACCCTGGGCTTGGGTGCTCGAGCCCCGGAGAACAAAGATGAGGAGATGAGCTGTAAACTGGAAACATTTGGATGAGGTTCGCTAGTCCATATCTTACTGTCAGTGGGGATTTAACATGAGATATTCGGGGTGAGTAATGAGGAAAACTCTTCTATTTTCGTAATCATGCTTACCAATTTCGATTGTTTTTTAATTATTTTAATATCTCAGTACACGACCATAATAGACATGTACTTATTCCACGGCAACAGGCCGAAGATTCCCATGGCTCGGATGGTGTGTTTTATCCGGTGACTTTTTCACAACTTCCATCAATCAGCAACATCCATTACTAGATTTATTTGATGATATACCCTAGGGCCTCGTCTCAATTTCTACCAATGAAACGTAGACGAATTGTAAGTATTTGGCAGCCAGTGAAATTGCACAGGCTGTCAGGCCCGAGGCTCCCTTGATACCGACAATAAGACTGAATCATAAGGCATAACTATCCCTCCGACGACATTCCCTATATTCTATGAATCTCCGAGCGTAATTATTGCTTTGAGGGTTGCCACTGTGTTGGGAGAGGGGCTAGACTCTGAGGTATTTTTGCGAGATTTACTGGGTAATTTAGACCCGAAGAGGGACTAGATTGTGTAGGGCTCAAGACTCCGCTCGGTGAATGTATATGAGAGTACTCTTGATGGATTTTTGTGTTAAGAGTATGGATGTGCTCTGTGGTATTCGTCAGGGAATTGAGGGGTAATTTGCAACTCAAATGACTGTGACGGCTACCTGTGAGTATGCTTTGAAAGCTGATGCATAGTGCCTGACATTGTCGTGTCGGGACAGGCCCAGATGGAATAAGATTGAGGATAATTATTATTATGGCTCACATAATTCGAGTAGGTAAATGAGTGTAAGGGCATTGAGGAATTGATTTGGACCGTCCTTGGAGATCTGTGCTTTCCGGTTGAAACATCATCTTTGTCGCAATAGAATATGGGAGGGTTGTTGGTATGAGTAAGAAAAAACTGGGGATATACGAGACACGTTTCGCCCTGCAGGCCGTCCAAGTGTCATTGGCTCCAAGCATTTCCAGGGAGCGACGGGCCAAAACGGAGTTTAGGATGCATCCCCTGCTTATCTGACATAGCGCCTAAATTTCTCCGAGTCCCGCCGTCGCGTCAGCATGCTCCTTATTAACCCATAATGCCTGTTACGCGCAGCACTACGCATTCTATTTGGCCCTCACTGGACTTCTGGAGGGTCTTAGATGCACGCTAATGGGCGCGGACGAAGGAATCTCTGGGAAATTAGGTCAGAATTGCTGATCACGGAAGTACCGGGCTTAGCGGCATAATTCCATGGGCAAATACAGAAATGTTGAAATTGACTCTCAGTTGGCGTTAGTGCTGTTGGAAAGGCTGAACCGAAATAGATTCTACTGGTTCATGGTGAGTTGGAAGGAATGGCCGGGCAGGAGGGTTTACGTCCCGGATGAATGGGAGGGGCAAGATGACACGGCGCGTCGCGAACGAAGCAGCCGTTGTCGGACTCGTGGATCGGGCGACTCGGCCTCGGCCTGGCATGACCAACAACCTTGTCGAAGTGCATTGCCTCGTCGGGTAATCACCGACGCTCTATGGAAGGTAGGGCCTCTTCCTTGGCGAAGAAATCGTCTCGTACTAGACGGGCGATTTGCCAGGTACGAAATGAAGTCAAGCAAGTTATCAGTAGATGAGCGATCCAATCTGACTCGGGCCATCCAACTGTGGGTGCACCGTTGAGATACGGTTGTCATGGCGTCTCCGCTTCCGAGAGAGCCCGGCCCGGCCCGGTCGGCTGAGAAGACGGGCGCGTCTCGTGGTAGGTAGCAAGTAGCTGAAGCGTACGGCGGCCAGGTCGGCGTAGCCCGATGATCGGCAATGCGCTTGGGGTAAAGGTGGATCGAAGCGACGTCTGCATAACTCTGCCGAGATGGACATGACATGCATCCGCGCCTCCATCTCTCCATGAAGTTGCCCCTACCATCCGCCATACGCAACATCACTTTCGGACGGTCGGAAGATATCAGTATCAACGAGACGAACAATGAAGGCAACGACTAGGCCCAGCCGGAGGTGCAGGAAAAACTCTCTGCGCCCCTCTCATCCACCCCCGTTCCAGAAACACTCTTAATCCAAGCACGAGTCGCCGAGAGTCTCCTGGTAGAGGCAGATTCCCTGGAATGACTCGCCCCCTCGTAAGCCATATGCTCCATGTCGGTCTACCAACAAGCGGCGACGTGTAATTTCTTCGCCCCAGGAATTCATGCCATGCCGCTCATGAAGCTGCGCGCAATATAAATATCCAGTGCGGCACCCTCGACGTCCTGCACCACTCACTTTCGCTTCATCCATTCCTTTGTCCTAGTCCCGCTTATCCGCTCTTTTCTCTCGTTTGACTAGACGACTCGCTCCTCTTCACTACTTAATCTACGAATCATGCTTTTTTCACAAACCATCAGCCTAATTTTCTTGCTCGCCCCCTCTGTTTTGGCAGAAAAATATGACAAAATCACGCCTGACTTTGTTAAAACTGTCACTTCTCTCAAATTTGGCGTTGACTGTGGGACACATGTTTACACCGATCTCCAGCTGAAAAAACTAGCCTTTAGCTCGCTGAGAACTGAAAGACTAGTCAAATATTGCACCCTAAAATCTGGGTGTTTCAAGAAGCTCGACTACCGCAAGAAATATATGAGCTATGTCCAAAACTCTTACTTCCCTATAGAATCATATTACATACGCGTCCGTTCAACTGGCGGTATTCTAAAAGGAAGTGAGTCTCGAGTCCTTGCGCCCTTATACTGCCTCAAGCTAACTCTGGAGATAAGGATTTGCAAAGAACAACATAATTGTCGTAGCGAACGATGGGACTATCCAAGGTGTTCTAACCACTAAAGACAAGGCTTGGGTTAACTGCCCAAACCGTGAGAAGGTCGGAACCATCAGTGAAGCGCAAAGACTAGACTTACTCAAGACGGAGCAAAAGATAAAATCTCAGAGTAGTGCTAAACCCGCCGACGGCGTCAAAATCGCTCAAACCGCAGAAATGGCAAAGATCTATCCCGCTGAATCGGATGAGAAATCTTCAGTTCCTCGCGGCACTTCCAGCCCTCGCGGTGCTTCTAGCCCCCGCGCTGCTGAGAAATCGGCCCAGGATAACGTTCCAACTGACCCCAGCACTTCGGGATCAAATGAGTAGGGAAATAGTTCATAAACTACTGGCAGCTCAATCGGCTATCACCTGTCTAGGCAGTGCAAAGTGTCCTAGGATTATGGGCAGTCGAAATGTCAGAGCGATAACGGTAACAAGACACATAGATAGGTTAAAAGGGTGCTTTCCTGCGAGCACCCAATTGAGATGTGTAGAGGAAAGGGGAATGCTCGCGTCGTAATCTGGCTCAGGTAATATTTTTTCATGGATAAAGCTTAGTTGGGCCGTGTAATAGTAAGGAATTTATTATGCCAGAATTCGTTCCTTGTGCTTTTCAAGTTGCAGCCCCTGACTCTTTATCTCCACTCACCCTCCTGACTGGAATCCTCCAGGACTGAGGTATAGGGATAGTAACGAGTCCAAGGGTCGTCCTTGGCTTGCCCAGATACTCTTTTCGCCTCAAAGGCATCTTCTACGTGAATCTGATGTCGCAATGGAGACCCTCCTTCGGCGCGGGATAACTTTCTCCCCGTGCCTATTTCCGTAAGTCATGTGCCCAAATCGGATTGGGGTGTACGGGAAATTGTTTACCTCTCCACCACGCTACCTAGCAGGTGTCATGTGATGTTTTAATTGTACCACAGGAGTCAAAGATTATCTAGCACATTGGGCTCCTTTCTGGCCCAGGCCACACCTTTTACAGTGCTTTTTGCCTTTCATGTTCCTTCAAAAATCATTGATATATTGTCCGTAACGAACAGTTATTCAGCTCAGAGTTTACCCGTGGAATTCGGCCACCTTTTCCACGGAACCTTCTACATAAAAAATAAAAATGGTAGCAATGGAAACTGCGTGCGCGGGAAAAAGTCCCAAAAAACCTGCAGCCCCAGCCAGGCGAAGCCTAGACCAGGAACCACATGAGGTGCACATATTCATCTATATCTACCTTCTTTGTAACAGTCGAGGCCAACTTGATCCAATCCACCATCTCCGTATCGGGTGCTGGGTACGCTCCGGAAACTCATCGGATGGCTTTTCCTCCATGATCAAGGGTTGGTGATGAGTAGGGCTCTGACCCTACCATCTGATCTGATCGTGGTTAGCTTCATGATAGTGGTGATAGGGGGATATGCTTAGGGTCGAAGACGATACAGACCGCGAAAGTGATTAGGAATCCTCATCGAAGTGAGGACGGTGTTACTCAATCTCGGCTCCGCATACTCTACAGAGAGAGCTGGAGGTTCTTAGGGGACACCACTGACAGGTGTTAAGAATAGTCCCCCTTTCTTGGCTGAATGCAAGGAAGGGTTTTGCGATGAATTCCAGGGCAAATACGCTGGCGCAGGAGAGCTCAGGATGAGGAACGCTGACTCAGCCCCAATTATTATTTCTTTTTGAATTTGAATTTGATTTCATTTAACCCGATCAGGCACCCTATGGGTCCATGCAGGTGACTATCTTCATTATTTACAAAGGGGGAAACCAATTTGGTGGAAACCCCCTGATCCTGCCTGTTAATAGCTATCAAACTTTCCTAGTTTACCTTCAGGAAGTGCATTTTACACTGTTAAGCCAGTGTGGACTCCGTTCTCTCCCCTTCATGATCGATTCATTTTTCCGACATTGCTGCCTCCACTTCCCCCGCAAGTCGAAACTGTTTTATCCATCCTTTGCTTAGTATCCACTGTGTGATTCGAGCGACATCCTCTGGACTGTTCATCATTGCTTCAAATGACCTGTCTTTAGCCTGTCGGAGAACATCGCCTCTTCCACTTGCCCACTGCGGACACGCCAATAGCATGTGCTTGACGTTCTGTGACGGATATCCACATTGACAGCGAGGGTTTTCTACTCCGGGTACCTTTCTTCTGTATAGGTAAGAATTGAGGCCGATATGCTCGCTTCTTAGCTGAATCGCGACACTGCTTTGGGCCCTGCTCAGGTTACGGTGGATACTTAAAGGTGTACCTCTGAAGTTGATTTTTGTACTGCCTGTTTTTTTATCGGTGAATATATTTGCGGCTTTCCAATGTTCTGGATCGGCTGGTGCTAGTCGTCCCGAGCGCTGCTTCCTATTAATGCCTGTCCATAAATTTTTCCACTCCTGGAAGGCTGCTATCTTTCCAGCTTCTTTTTGCCTCCCCTTGTCCTTTTCCCTTCCACAAATTCTTGTCCATTCGGCGATATCTTTACTCCTGTTCCAGGCATGCGGGGTCTCTCTCCCGTTTACGGGCAGCTTTATCCTGTTACATGTCGATTGTATTGTCTGTTGTACAGGGAGTTTGGATGAAAGCCCGACGTGTTGGACTCTCCTTTGTTTAAGGTATATTTCTATGGGGAGAACCGACGATTCGTGCTCTAGCACTCTGCTGCTAGTAGAATTGTAGGCACCTGCAACAAGTTTTAAGCATTTTCTTTGAATACTTCTGAGGGGTTTAACTATCCTTTCAGGTATTTTTCCTGTTGGCCCGGCCTCGGCCCATATTGATGACCCATACGTGAGGGCCGGTCTCACTATTGAACTGTACAGCAGCTTAGACTTCATGAATTTCGCTCTTGATTGTGCCAGTCTACTAATTGACTGCATTTGGGTGCACGACCTTTGCTGAATATTCTTAATGTGGGCCCCCCAATGCAGTTTTGGGTCAAAGAAGACTCCGAGAACACGAAGAGATGACTGTGGCGAAGTTAGGTGTCCTTGTATACTCACAGTGGCTTTGAGGTTATGTCTTTTCCTTGCTCTTGTGAAGTGCATCAATTGGTACTTCTCCGGCGCAAATTTTACTCCATGTTTCTTTGCCCACTCTTCGCATATCCTGTGCTTTTCCTCTAAAATTCGGCAATTTTCTTCAGTAGAGCTTGACCATGTAAGTATATTAGTATCATCCACAAATCCTACAGCTGTACTAGCGTGGGTTTGGAGCATCGGTAGGAGAGTGCTGACAAAAACCAGGAACAGAATTGGCGACAAAGATGACCCTTGAGGTATACCTGTGTTAGTAAAGATTTGGTCCCCTTTGTATGACCCAAGGACTACTGAAGTTGTTCTGCCCTCTAGGAAGGATTTTACAAAGTTACTTATCCATCTTGGAATGCCCTTTTCCCTTAGGTTGTGAATAAGTCTTTCGTGAGAGACATTATCAAAGGCCCCTGAGATATCAAGACTAAGAAGTGATGCGACTTTCTTTTTGTCTCTACCCCATATGGTGTGGATCTGTTCTGTAAGGAGCTCGACTGCCGAGATGGTACTTCTCTTAGGTCGTGCCCCCATCTGTTCCTCTGGAAGTAGGTTGAAGTCCTCAGCGGCTTTAGAGATGCGGTTCGCCACTAACTTCTCGAGAAGCTTTCCCATTGTATTCAGAAGTGCTATTGGTCGATAAGACTTAGGAGTGTCGTATCTTGGCTTTTGTGGCTTTCTGAGGACAATTGTTGTTGATTCTTTGAATCTCTTTGGGTGGTATCCCAGGCTAATGCATGCATTGAATAGCTCTGTAAGATCTCTACTTAGGGTTTTCCTGCATTCTTTGAGGAGTTGATTTGGGATCCCATCTGGACCTGGGGCTTTATTGTTTGGAAGCTTTCCAAGAATTTCTTCGACCTCTGCCTGAGTTATGGTGTTAGTAATACCCTCCAACTCTTTAGGATAGATAGTTCCAGCAATATCTCCTGCATCTGCTGCCACAGGTTGGGGAAAGAAGTGCGCTGCCATAGCTCTGGCTATATCGGGAGGATCGGTATGAATGATTCCGTCTGCGCCTTTTATCTCCGAAATTTGGGGTAGCCTTTGTCTTTCCTCTGGATCTTTCCTTGCCCATTTGGCAAGTTTCCATATTTTTGTTGGGTCCCGGGAAGCCTCGGAAACTGCTGCCCTCCATCCAATTGTTTTTGCTTTTTTTATTTGGGTCTTTTTCCTGCTCGTGGCATTTTGATATTCTATCCAGCTTTTTTCGGTTCCTCGATATTTCCATGCTCTTCTGGCCTTTCTTGTGTCTTTTACCGCCTCCGAGCATTGGGTCGTCCAGTAGGGTTTGGCAAATTTTGAGGGTTTGGCAATTGGTATAATTTCTTTGGCTATGTTCTGGATAGCCTCGGTGATGGAGACTACCCTCTGGTCGATAGTTTGTCGAGAGTCGAGGTTCAAGACGTCTGCCCGTAGCTCAAGTAGCTGGATCGCCAGTCTTTCTTTAAATTTTACCCAGTCTGCCCTTTTCCATTGGAGACGTGGTTCTGGTGATTCCTCTACTTGCGGTTGGATTGAAATTTGCGTGGTTATAGGAATATGGTCGGAAGATGCTTCAAGATTGCTATCTGGCTGGCAAGTTATGACTTCGTCTTCAAGCTCCTTCGATAGAAAGACTAGATCAAGCGTATTCTGACTTCCCCTATTATTCCAAGTGATGGTCCCCTCCGGAAGAATTAATTCCATATTGTTGTCTCCTAGTATTCCTATTAAGTCTTCAGCTAAACTATGATGCCTTAGAACTGATTGCCCCCCCCATCTAGGGTGGTGTAGATTGAAGTCCCCCACGAGGATATGTTGGCCTTTTTTAGAGAGAAGTTCGGGGAGATATTTTAGAGACCCTAGATCTGTGCTACTGTGAGATAGGGGAGGAGGATTGTATACATTAGTAACGAATATTTTGCCTCTGTTAGTCTGCATACTGATGGAGGTTATATCTCTATCTGCCTCTGCTGGGGTTTTTTCCTTTCTCCACTTTGTGATTGCAAGATACTTACTTATGTAAATACATGTCCTACCTTTGCACCCGTCCGGAAATATCAGGTGGTAAGCTGGGTGTTTAATCGTCGTATTCTCTATTGGATGGCGCCATGGCTCTTGTAAAGCCACCACATGGTGCTTTGTTGGGTCTAAAGCTTGGAGGAAGTGGTGTTGAACTATATTTTTGCTTTTATTGACGTTATACTGTGTTATGTTTAGTGTATTTGCGCCTTTCATTGATTCATTACGCAGTCCGGTGCCCCGTTGGTCTCTGCAGAGTTCTCCCGTGTCACAGTCCGGGGTAGTATTTGGGTGAACGACGTTGGCG